CAGCCCCCCTGCTCCCTACCATCATCCTGCTCCCTACAGCCCCCCTGCTCCCTACAGCCCATCACAGGCTCATGGCTGACCCCCATTTTTCTGCTGGGGGGTGCAGCCTGATAGCAGTGGGGGGACAGGAGGCTGCTGCCACTCCCCAAAATTAATCCAAACCTGACACCCAGCCCCATGCACTGGGTGTGGGAGCTCCTGAACCCCATGCTGAACCCAAGGAGCTGCTCGAGGGCAGTGCAGCCACCCAGGAAAAGGCTGGGACCTGCAGTGGCTGCAGGGAGCCCCTTCCCTGGCTGGGAATCGAACCCAGGCCGCGGCAGTGAGAGTGCCGAATCCTGACCACTAGACCACCAGGGATGAGGTGGTGATGGTGGTGGACCTGTTGGTGGCCACCAACCAAGCCCTGAAGGGACAGGAACACTTGGGCCCCACAGCCCAAGGAGAGAACCAGATGGGATGGATGCCACAGCCTTTCTGGGGGACTTTGCAGGGATGCCTGCTCCTTTCTGAAAGCTGTGGCATTGGGAAGACCCTCTGCGCAAGAGGACCCCATCTCTGCAAGGTCTGGGAAGAAGGACGTGGCTATGCCGGGACTCTGATCACCGATGAAGGCAAGTTTGGGGAAGGCAATGATGGCCAATGGTTCAAGAAAAGACTTAGCAGTCCCCTGGGGGTTCACCAGGGAGGTTCAGTCCTGCTGGTGATGGAGCATGGACCCCATTTGTGCTGCTGTACATTGCCAGGCTCGCGTGGCACACATCACACTGGGCACAGGCGATCCAGCTTCCTGGACACAACCACGCCAGCTCCTGGTGCACAGCCAGGGTTTCCCCGTGGTCACCTCGGGAGAAGCAGAACAGTACAGGGGCAGTCTGATTGTTGTCAGCAGAGCCTTTCTTGTTCGGGGAAACAAAGGTCTGAGCCCTTGTGCTGGTAGAGGGAGTGTGTCTGGAGTCCTCATTCCTACTGGTTTTACAGTAACATTTGCGTCTTGTTTTTCTAGGGGAAAACAGCCAGTTGGGGCCATCTTTTGAGACTTCATCTGGAGCTGCAAAGAGTAGGTGATCCCGGTTTCTAGAGAGTCCTTCTGAGGGAGCAGAGACTTTTGCCTTCATTTACCCCGCAGAAGGAAGCGGGCCCTCGTTAGCCAGCGTGCTCGGGAAACTGTGCTGCCGGAGGGGCTGGGTGGGAGTTAGGGGCAGCAGCAACGCGCTGGTGTTGCCCAGGCATCCTGCAGCAGCGATGCTTGTGATCCCCCCACCCTTGTCCTTCATACCACAGGTAGCCTGTTTCCTTGGCCCCATACATTTCACTTAAGAAATTAAGATTTAAGAATACATTTCACTTCAGAAAAATAAATAATTAAAAAAAGAGGCTAAGTCAGGCTGGGGCAAAAACAAAAAAAGACTTCTCCCCCACCACCTGCACTCACCTCCTAGAAAAGAGGCTTTCTGCTGAATAGGAAGATGGAGAGGGGCTTGAAATGGGTCCCCCACTCCCCAGGTGGTTGCTACCAGCATGGGCAGCACGACAGGGTGCTGCAGAGTCCTGGACCCCTGCCCAGGGCAAAAGGCCCAAGGGGGAGCCCAGGGCTCAAGGTGACAGTACAACTGCCACCTGTCCCTGCAGCACCCAGCACAGCGGGGTTCAGACCCAGAGGGGAATAAGCACTGACACAGAGGATGACACCCAGGGGGGGTGCCCGGTGCTGGCAGGAGCCCTGCCTGCCCCAGGCTGTGTGCAGGGAGGAGAGCCCTACCCATGCACTGGGGCAGGCAGGAGGAAGCACTGCAGGGCTTCTCAGCAGATGGATGAACCATGACTGAGATGGAGATGAATGAAAGGGCTCCAGGAACATTTCCCGCAGAAGACAGCAGAGGGCCCAGTGCTCCTTGGACGCTCATGTGTGGTTGGGAGGGGAAGTAAATGGACAGAGAGAAAATCTCTCTGACTTGCAGAGGTCAGTGCACACAGAGTGGGGAAACCTCCTTGTGGCTTGCCTTGTCCCATGCAGTTCCCTAAAATGGCCAGTGCAGCTCCCCTCTCCATCTGAGGCCAAACCCCAGCATGGTCCCCCCTGCAGCCCTTCCGTGACATGGTTTGGGGTCGCAGTGAGACATCTGGCATCCAGCTCCCCTGTCCCCATGGTGCCCCAATCTCTGCCCAGGTTCCTCTGCAATGCCTGGTGGATCCCAGCCTCTGGCCGCTGCCTTTGCCACCACCTTTCCCTGAGGAGCTGCACTGCAGTGAGCTGGAGAGGGCAAAGGGAGGCAGTGGGTAGCTTTGGAGGAGTGCAGTGTAGAGCGAGGAGGAGAGCAGGGAGGAGTGTCACCCTCCCGCAAGAGCTGACCTGGAGCAAGGATGGAGCCACGATGAATGGTCTGGCATCTTTCCAACACTCTGGCATCTCTGCCGCGATGGTCAGGGCTGCAGAATACACCTCCAAAAACCTGCACAGGGCCAAACCCCCAGTGAGGGGCAAGGCTGGGCTGTGCAATGGTCATACGGGATTATGCCATCCCTTGGGCATGTCGGGTGGGGGGGAGAAGGAGCTGTGCTGGGCTGAGATGCAGCCACCCTGCACTTTCAGAAAGATATGCGGATGTCATGGTTTCAGTTGCCTCTACAAGCTCTAAAAAAGCGTAAGCTCTGGCAGCCTTGCGGTTGGGGGAGCATCAGTATCACTCTGTGGTTTCTTAGATCTCTATCTGGACCTGTCAGATATTTTGTCATAGACGCTAACAGTTCCTTCCTCTGCCAGCAGATCTGGGCACACCAAAACAGGTTCGCTTTCATGTCCCGTAGCAGGGCAGTCTCTGTCTGTGATGCAGAGGAAGGGGAGATGAGTGACTGCTACCCCATCAAATGCAACAAGGAAGAGATGCAGCCCAGGAGCTGCATGTTGGAGCCCAGGAGTGTGCGGAGTCATGTGGTGAGGCAGGTGGTGGGGATGTAAAAACTTTCTACAGGCAGTGCTCCTTCGAAAGAGAAGTCCCAGCCCCAGGATCAACCTTGGGGCAGCAGGGACAGGTCAAGGCTCAGTACAAAATGCAATTGCTGTTGTAGTGAGGAGACGAGGCTGAGACACATCGCCTTGCTTTGCACCCCTACATGGATCTGGGGCATGAGCAATACATACATAAATTAGCCAGAACAATAGGCTGATTGCAATACTGGAATACATGCAATATGGGAGTAGCAATAAATAATCCCTCTCCCCATCTCCAAGACTGGGATGTCCCTTGCCAAATTCCAGCTGAGATTTTGTCCCTTGCAAAGCCTGAGTACCTGCTAGCATGTTGCTGTGCTGCCCCAAAATGCCACCACCACGTGTTTGTGACAACCCCATGGTGTCAGTCACTTGGTTCAGCTCCAGGTCCTTCACGTGCTTTTGAAGGCAGGAGTCCTCAGGGTCCCCAGGACACCACCACCCCCATCCCCCATGAGGATGACTTGGGAAAGCCATGGACTCTTGCGCACTCCAGCAGGGTCCCTGGCACAGCACATGGGGACCCTCCTGCAGCACTGGTCCCCACCCAAGGGGACATTGCAGTGAAGGGGACACTGTGGGGAGGCAGCCCTCATACACCCAGACACAAGGAGGTCTCCGAGGGCCCCCCACACACGCACATGGCATGGGGGGGAGAAGGAGAGTGGGCGCAGAGCAGCACTGCCCTGCAGTCCCAGCTGCATTACTGGGGCTGCGAGGCAGCGAGGAAATCCCGGGGAAACGAGCTCGTGGTGCCTCGTGAATGGCAGTTGCTGCTGGGAGCTGGGCATGAAAATACCCGGAGAAACCACAGGCTGTGAGCTGGCAAATTTGGTGCCTGTTGCAGAGAAGACAGGGGTGGAAAAAGGGGAAATGATCCCTGGGGCATCCCGGGGAGCCCATCACCTCATGGCAATGGCAGTGCTGGGGGGCTCTGGGCAGACCACATCATGAGCCCCGTGACTGTGAGCGTGCACAAGGGGATGGGGGTATGCATTTGCACGAGAGCTGGTCCCTCTCCACTCCCTGGGCAGGGAAACCTCCTGCTCTGCCTTCTGCATCCCACCTTGTACCAAACCCATGCTGGCACTTGTGTTTGCCCCGTGTCTCTGGCAGAAGATGGTATTTGTAGAGTCAGACCATCAAGTCGGGCATCCCAGGCAAGCACTCCCCATACTGGCTGATGCTGGGGTGTGTTAGGAGAGGTTTGGAGGTCCTGAGCTCCATACTGGAAGCACAGCATTGAGGATTTTGTGTTTTATGGTGCCAAGACTGCCAGCCCAGATCTACAACCAGTCTCCAGGGTGCCAGGCATCCTTGCTGCCTGCACAGGCAGCAGAGCTCAGAGCGTGCCTGCTGCCCATGCTGCCCGCACTGACCCCCTGCATCCACCTTGTGCATGTCCCAGATCCACCATGGAAGCAAGGACCCCCCAGCTGGACCTGCACCGTCCTCAAGCCGTTTTGAAGGTCTGAGCACCTTTGTCCTCAAGGCCTGGGTCCTTGAAAAGGAGACTGAGTTGAGGTCCTCCTGGTCCTTCAGGGAGGATGCTGAGATGAGTTTGATGAGTACTGCTGTTGTGCTGGTGAATCTAAGTGTGAACCTGCTGCTGAAGGGTGCTTTCATATCCTGTCTTGGTCAGTATAGCTCACATGCGGGTGTTGATTTGCTCAGACTTATCTCACCTCACACAAAGGCTATTCTGTTATTTCCTAGACCTGCTGCTTCCTTTTTTTCAGCATTTCTGAGGCAAAGGTGCCATGACATCAGCTCTGTTACGCTTTGGAAACTCCAAGTGTTTGCCTTGAAATCTGACTGACGGGGCTGGCCACCGTCCCTATAAAAAGCAAGGACTGAGCCAGCACCTCGCATCAGACACAGGAGGAATCTGCTCTGGTCCTGCCTCTGCCCTTGCAGCTCATCTCTGTCCATAATGAACGCCTCTGCAGTGTGCCTCTCCATCATCCTCGTTGCTGCCCTCTTTTCTCAGGCCTCTCCTGCTCCACGTGAGTACAGCATCTCCCTCTGCTCTCTTGGGGTGGATTTTTGCTCTGACTGGCAGTGATTTTGAAGCAGAACTGGAAAAAGTTAGATGCAAAGGTTGGAAACGTGTGAATAGCTTCTCCTGCTTTCTTGGGACTGGTCTTCCTTTCTAGCATCCTTTTATCTTAGGGATGAATTTTACTGATAAGTATCAAAGTTTTCAGGTTTCTTCTCCCCTGATTTTGTTGCTGGGCTTTAGGAGTGGTCCCAGGGTGACTGAAGGGATATTTATCATTGGAAGTGAGTGCAAAACATTTAACAACCAATCCTAGCAATGAGTTTAATTAAGCTTTGGTGCTCACAGCAATTTCTTGCTGACTTTATGGGGAAACAGGAAGAGAAGAGGGCTTCACAGCTGGTTAAGGGGATGGCTGCCCATGCTCTCGGCTGGGGAATGTGCAGTTTATTGAGTGATAGACTCATGCTGGCTTTCCTGATCTCTTCCAGTTGGGGCTGACACAACCGTGTGCTGCTTCAGCTATACCTTACGAAAGCTGCCCCAGAGTCATGTGAAGGATTATTTCTACACCAGCAGCAAGTGCTCACAGCCAGCAGTTGTGTAAGTACCAGCTCCTGCTCTGGGCTCTGAGGAAAGGCTCTGCCAGCCTTTGGGCTCTTTGCTTCACGTCCAATGGGGCCAAGAGCATGGTGGTGTGAGGAGACATACCTGGAGTAAGGGAAGGGGCAGCCACCACGGGTCCCATGTGCAGCACGTGAGCACTCATCCTCCTCAGCTGAGAAATAAGTGGTCTCCCTGGTCTCCTTGAACCATCCTGGTGCTGGGAATAAGGTGTGGGAAGGAGGTCCCTGTGTAGCCAGCAGGACCTCCCAGTGGTGATGAGCCCAATGCACATAATGTGCCACCTGCAAGACTTGCACCTGATTTGCCAGCCGCCCGCGCACTGCATCCAGGGTCACCTCCACACTGAACATGGCCAGGAACATCTGAGCATGGGGGGGTTCTCCCAGGGGACCTTGATCTCTCCCTGCCCTCTGGGTTTTAGCAGGCTCTGGAGCTCCCTGATGCTTGGGGGTTTGTGGGATGGGAGCCTGGAGGGGAGATGATCCCCTTGGGAGCTAGCTCTGATCACAGAGCAGGTCAGCATGTGCCCAGGAGGTGACCCAAGGCCCTCATGTCCTTTTCCCTCTCCGGGGCTGTAACACCTCCCTGCCTGACTTGACAGGTTCATCACCCAGAAGGACCGGGAGGTCTGTGCTAACCCTGATGCCAGGTGGGTGAAGGAATACGTGAACACCCTGGAGCTGCAGTGAGCGCTGGGAGCTGAGAGGTCTCTGCCCTGGAGAAGTCCTGCAAGACCATCCAGCAGAGTCTTGGCACAGACCTAAAAATCCTGCTGCTGAGCAACCAGGACCTGCTGAGCCACCTTGGGACCCCTGAAGTTCCTTTTGTCTTGCAAAGATGTCATTTATCCATGATAGTTTAGCCACCCTTAATGGGCAGCTGTGATGCTGGGGACCTCCTGGCCTTGCAGACCCATCTTGGCATAGCCTGCTGTGTGACATGTGGCTAAACTGTCCCGTCCTTGTGCCTCCGCTGCTAGAATGGGAGGGGGATTTTATCCCCAGAGATATTTGTGGGAAGTGGTCTGTCAAAATTAGGTAAGTGCGCTGTCACGTAAACCCAGACTGACTTTCAAGTCAGCTGGCTGAATTTTGCCATGGTACGGTAGATGCTGTGAGTAAGATCTGTCTCCTTAGCAGAGGAAGTGGTATGCTGGTTACTTACAGGATGCTCTTTGTGGAACCACATTGTTCAGCCTTGTTCTCAAAATGCTGTCTCTTGCTGGTGCCAAAGAATAAAGATTTTTTTCTCTCTGTGTCAGCTCTGGAAGAGGTTGTTCCCCTCCTGCCTGGAAAAACGCGGCCGATAGGACCCCATTACAACCATTTTGGGAGAGGCAGGGGAAGAACCCCAACTTCCCAGCTGGAAATGCCTCGGCCTCCTTAGCCCTAAAAACCTTCCCTTCTGCATCGCCTCCCTGCTCCCAGCACCGCAGCAGCAGCAGCCCCATCACGACTCCAGCGCCTCCCAGGGCTGTTACCTCCCAGCCGCTGCGCTGCTGCGGAGCCAGACCTCTCCCCCGGCCCTTTCCCCCCATCATATCAGTGGCCAAGGCCGGGAGCTGGTGGAGCTGGACCCGCTGGATTTGCCACTGCGGGTTTGGCAAAGAGATGTCTGGAAATCACAGGGTGGGGGTGCAGCGGCGTCTCTGCAGTGAGCTCGAAGGAGGGTGGCTCAGGGGCTGGCCAGCCAGGGCCACGTCCCCAGCACAGGCTCCTCTGGGGATGCAGCCTGAGCTGTGCTCAGCTCTGGGTACGCTCTGTTAGTGTTTTACTGCAAAAGACAGGCACCGATTATCTGCTGTTCTTCAGCTGCTTTGGGAAGGAAACCCGGATTTGGTTTAAAAAAGCACAAGAGGTCTTTTGCACCAAGTAAAACTGACAAAAGCACTTTATCAGACTATGGTTTGCATTTAAAACTAGCTGATATCTTTGTGGGTAGAGAATGAAACTGCCGGGTCTGACCTCCCTGCTGCTGAAGCTCTGCGGGGGGGGACGGGGACCTTTGCTCTCCGGGTTCTCTCCATCAGAGCTGTCTGAAGCAAAAGCTCAGAAACTTTTGTATCACTCTTGGCCAAGAGTATTGCCACCTGGCAGCTTGTGCACGTCAAATCTTCACCTCCCAGGACATTTTCCACCATGAAATGAGCTATTCGTCACCCCTGGGAGTAATTTCTCAGGCCCCCCTCATTGCTAGCAACAAATGATACCCCATAATTAGGGGCAAGCAAACCAGTGTGAGATACAGTGTCCGTAAAACACCCCCAAGCCCGTTGGTGCCACGGTGGTCTGCAAATGTTCAGGTTGTCTCCTATTCTCCCCTTGGTCATCACCACCTCTCCATAGGTCTCCCTGTTTATTACCCAGCATTTTCCTATTGCGGTTCCTTATTAACTGCCTCAGAGTCTCTATTTCTGACAGGAGCCGAGGCCACAGCTCTCACCCACCGCCTCTGGGCTCTCCGCAGCCTGGGACTGTATTCCCAGCAGCAGCTGCCTGCATCAGTGCAGGGAATGGGTGCAGAAGCCTCACAGAGCCCAAGGGTGCAGGGGAGACTCTCAGTGCCCAGGACGAGGGTCCCCAGAGAGGAGGGGGCTGCCCCAGCCATGAGACAAGGGTCAGCAAGGGGCCTTTGCAGCCCTGGTGGACCCTGCTCTGCCAGGCTGAGCTGGCAGAGCATCCTCCCAGCGAGAGCAGGCAGCAGAGGGAGCCCCGAGATATCTGTGCACCAAGAGCTGGTGCCACAACCTGAACTGATCTTGTCCCTGCATCCTGGCAGGGCACCTGCCTGCATGCTGCCCAGGTGCTGAGGGATGGAGGGCATACCAAGGGTCCCAGGGATGGAGGGGGGTCCCAAATCCTTGGTGATGAGGCACAAGGCGGCACAGCCCCAGGCAGAAGAGGGTGGCTGTCCCTGGAGATGGAGGGAGCCCCGAGATATCTGTGCACCAAGAGCTGGTGCCACAACCTGAACTGATCTTGTCCCTGCATCCTCACCTGCCACCTGCCTGCATGCTGCCCAGGTGCTGAGGGATGGAGGGCATACCAAGGGGATGGAGGGGGTCCCAAATCCTTGGTGATGAGGCACAAGGCGGCACAGCCCCAGGCAGAAGAGGGTGGCTGTCCCTGGAGATGGGGAGGAAAGGTGTAGGGGAGTGGAGGTGGGTGCTGATGGGTGGATGAGGGCACCCTGGGGTGCAGAGGGCAGCGGGGCAGCAAGGAGATGCGGAGAGAAATGAGGCAGGGAGCTGTGAGGCTGGGAGCAGAGGACAGGGGCAGAGGAGGGAGAGGGAGGATGCAGCAAAGGAAGGGATCCTAGCGCTTAGGTCTGGGATGGGAAGAGCCCTGTCGGGTCAGTGGGATTTACAGGCACAGGGGCTGGGGCCCAGGGGTGCTGCCCCACAGCCCACCCTGCCAGCAGCCTTGCAGAGTGAACAAAGACCTGGCAGGAGGAGATGGGGGACGATGTGCTCCACAGGGAGCCAGGGCCCAGCTCCATCCTGAACTGGGGCTCACAGCAGGCCCATGGCTGTGTCCCCACACCTTCCCCTGTGCATCCAGGGGTGTGGGCTGTGGAGAGCAGGGCTTGGGGGTCCCAAAAGGACCACTCTGCTGGGGGTGGGTGGGAAGGGGAAGCCTGTGCATCAGGGAGGAAGTCCATCAATGCCCAAGCTCAGTGATGGAGACAGGCGTTATGAGCACAAGGCTTTATTCCTTAAAGACAGTGTGAAAACGTGTCTACGGAACAATGGTGAAAATTGCTAATTAACAGCACACCTGAAATGCCCCTTCCCTCAGGGTAGAAGAGGGGTGCCCCAGAGTAGCTCTCAAAGGAGCCCAAATGCTCTGCAGGCTGGGCAGGTAGCTCAGCGGGAGGGGTGAGGTACAAGGTTCTGTTTTGCATCCCTGCAAAGCGGCTCTGGCACAGCCCACTGTGGCAGGAGGCAAGGGGGACCCTGGGACACGGCCCGGCAGTGGTGGGAAGCAGGGAAGGGATATAAAATCAGCCAGGTCTTCCTGAACATGAGAATAATCAAACAGTGCTCATGTTGGTTTGTTTTCATACAGTGGCTCCTTGAGCACTTCACAGAAAGCTTTTAGGCATTGCTATCCCTCACTTACAGATGGGCAAACTGAGGCACGAGCTTGCCATTGCAGAGTCAGGCTGGGTGAGGTGGGCTGATGGGGCCAGCACTCCCCGTTGGGGCCACAGGTCTCACTTCCCTGCCCACAGGACCGTGACGAGCGAGAGGCGAGCAGTCCACGACACCAAAATCATTCCTTTGCAAGAGGCGTGGAAGAAGCTGGGGCTGGCCCTGGGCTCCCGGGTGCCAGAGCTGGAGCACTGGGGGACCAGGCGGGTGTGGCGATCTCAGTGTGTCCCCAAAAAGTTCACAAATACCCAGACGGCGTCAGGGTCAGCGCAGACCTGGTGTTTCTTCCTGGTGATGAAGCTGGGAAGTGGGGACCAGGAAACCTTTGTGGTGGGGAAGGGATGCACCACCGCAGAGCTGCACTGAGTCACACCAGGGCTGGAGAATGTCCTTTTTGTGACCGCTGCCTGGTGTGGGGGCAGCCAGCCAAGGGGAGGTGCTGAGGTCCCTGGGCCAGACTCCTGGCTCTGCCTCAACTTGCTGCTGGCTCCCACAGGCAGGGAGAAGGACCACAGACCACAGTCCCAAATGGCCACTGCAGAGTGTGTGGTTGGTGTCTCCTGGGACAGGCACCTTCTGGGTATTTCTCTGCTGCACACCGAACACCTCACCTGGGAGCACTTTCTCAGCCGTACTGGGGCGGCTGCACCCCTCAGGATACCAGGAACAACCTCTCATCCTCCCTCCACTGGGCTCATCCCAGTGCCAGCATGGGCAGGTCCTTCTCAGCCATCTCCTTGCAACTGGAAAGCATCTCTCCTTGCCAGGACTGAGTAATGGCCAATCCCAGATAACACACCAACAAGTCCCCCTCTTGATCCCAAGAGGGAGAAAGATTTGTGGGGCCAAGCCAAAGGCTTCCTGCACGGGCAAGAGCCCATACCCGCACAACAGCTGGCTGCTGGCACCTGCTGGTGGTGCAGAAATAGTCCTTCACATGTTTCCTGGAAAGCTTCTGCCAAGTGCATGTGAAGAAACACACAGCTGTGTCAGGGACGGCTGGAAGAGATTTGGGGTACGGGACTGAATCCGTATGACCAGGAGGAGACACAACATGGATGTGTACGACCAGCAGAGAATAAATACTCCCAGCAGGCCACGCTCCAGACCAAGGAGTCAGAGCAGGTCATGCCTGTTCCTCAGGCATTACAGGTCACCATCATGAGCCCTTCTTCCTCCAGGAGAGGAAAAACCAACCCAAAGACAGAGGTGGATTCACCTGGAGCAGAGCAGGATTGGGAGCAGAGGGCACCAACAAGGAGAGCAACAAGGTTTAACCAGAGAGACCTTCATGTTCCCATCAGGAGCTAAGCAGACATACAGACCATGTTTGTGCTTAGCACTGATCCATCCAGTCCCCACTTCCCACAGGGAAGCACCAGTGACGGGACGTATAAATGGGTGGGTTTAGGAGAAAGGCTTCTTGAATGACGTGGAGCTGCCAGAACGTGGCCAGTGTAGGTTAGAAAGACAGAACTCAAAGAGGCTGAGCCACGAGGCCAAGTTTAAACCATCAGCTATCAAAGAGCTGCAGGG